GGGGGGGGGGCGGCGCCCGGGGGCCTCCTTCCCGCCGGGACTCCCCACGAAGAAGAGGAGGGACTCGGACTCCAGCTCCGGCTCCAGCAGCCCAGACCCCCCCGGCAAGAGAAAGCCGGGGGGGGCCCTCTCCCTGCTGGTCCACAGGATGGAGACTGAGGAGGCCGTGGGGGGGGCGGGGGGGGCGGCCCCCGGCTGCTCCGGGTCCGAGACCAGGAGGCTGCAGGAGGGCAGAGCCAGGGAGGAAGAGGAGGAGGAGGAGCGGCGTCTGAAGGAGGAGAAGAAGGAGAAGGACAGGCAGCAGGAGCTGGAGAGGGAGAGGGAGAGAAGTAAAGCTCAAGAAGAGGAGAAGGAGAAGGAGAAGAAGCGCCTGGAGGAGGAGGAGGAGAGGGAAAAGGAGGCGAAGAGACGAGAAGAGGAGAAGAGACGCCGACAAGAGGAAGAGGAGAAACAGAAACAACGTCAGGAGGAGGAGAAAAAGAAGAAACTCCAGGAGGAGGAGAAGAGACGAGAAGACAGACGGCTGAAGGAGGAAAAGGAGAAGAAGGAGGAGAGGGCCAGCAGGGCCTCCGTGGTGGTGACCCACCCCCCGGAGTCCGAGTCCTCCTCAGACTCAGACTCCAAGTCCGACTCATCGGGATCCTCGCCGTCGTCCTCCAGCTCCGGGGAGGAAACCCGCCGTCCCGACCAGCCGAAGGTGAGCGAAGGAAACGCATCCATCCCGATCAGATATCAGAATAAGGTTTATTGCCAAGTAGGTTTTTAGACTTACAAGGAATTTGCCTTGGCGTTTGGTGCACAACATAACACTTCTATGAGAAGCAAGAAATGAAATGTAGAAATAAAAATATAGGACAGAAATGATAAAACTGAAAAATACAAATACAAAATACAATCTTTAAAAATATAGATCCGAATGTACAAATGAACAATCTTTTAAAAATATTGGATCGGAATGGCTGCTGATATTCGCAGGGGAAAATACAGATCCAGACTCCAGATCCATTTTTTTTAAAGTCCGATCCCACACTAGCATTAGCATTAGCATCTCTAACCCACAGGTTTGTGTCCAGCTTTTTTCTCTTCTTATCCGATACCAATCACGGCCTATCAGAGCATGTATTAAAGTTTAAAGTTATTTATCTACTTACTTGGTTGTCAGACTCTTGTTGAACAGGGATTTAGTCTGATAACAACTTAATGGTTAGGACACAGACCTGTGGGTCAGAATATAGGCTTGTCCCGATCCGATATTTGCAAAAAAATACGTATCGGCCGGCAGGAGAAAAAGTCAGATCGCACACTAGTATTAGCGTTAGCATTAGCATCTGCTAACTGTCTGTGTCCTAACCATTAAGTTGTTATCAGAGTAAATCCCTGTTCAACATGAGTCTGACAACTAAGTAAGTAGATAAATAACTTTAAACTTTAACACATGCTCTGATAGGCTGGGATCAGTATCAGATCGGAAGTTAAAAAAAAAGCTGGATCGGGACATCCCTGGTTATCCATCACAGCTCTG